GCATTCCTGGGCAGCAGTGCCATGTGGCGAGGTCACGCTGCACACTGGTGTTTTGCAGATGATTATAAATGAGTTGATAAAGAAGCTGGACATGGACTTAAGTGAAGATATTGCAACGCTGTCCCCAGAGGAACTGCGGCAGCGTGTGGATGCTGCCATAGCACAGATCGTGAACCCAGCCAGGGTGAAGGAGCAGCTGGTGGAACAACTGAAGACCCAGATAAGGGACCTCGAAATGTTCATCAACTTCATCCAGGGTCAGTGAGGAGTTTTTGGATGAGCAGACTGAATTACTTTGTATTTCCCTGACAAGGCCATGAGGAGGATGTAGGAACAGTCCTGGGGTCATGGGAAAGTACAAATCTCTCTGAGCTGATGGTGAGGATAAGGAGACAGTGACAAAAGAGGACCAGAGAGGTCTGAGGAATATTGATATTAATACTTGGGGTCCACAGCTGAAATTTACAGATGTGAAATAATGATGTGAAATTCTTGTTTTAGATGAAGGTGGAAGTTCTGGCAAGGTGGAAGATGGACACTGTGACTGCGGGGGCTCCTACAAACCCAGCACCCAGCCACTTGGGAACAGAGGTGGGCACACCGGGCTCGGCGCCGCCGTATGGCTCGGGCTGTCCCCAGGCTGGTTGGGCAAGCACAAAACAGTCACTCCCTGCTTACACCGATGAAGGCTCGTGTGCAGTTCCTTCACCCTCCCTCCATGGGATCCTCAGAGTGGTCACAGAGCCTGAATGTGTGGCATGGAGGGTTGGATGGGCCCTCAGCAGGGTTAGGAAGAGAAAGGACCATTGATACTGAGTGCAGAATGCAGACAGACTGAGAGCCCTGTCTGACACACACTGTAGTTCGTGCTCTTCAAGCTCTGAGCTCTGTGAGCTGGGGGGATCCAGTGTTCTTTCATGTTTGAGACTTGCCTACTTATCCCATGAACTTACTGTTGACTCCCTAACAAGAGCATGTTTTTCTCTTTTCCAACCCGGTCAGTGAACCCAGAAGACGCCAGGAGGATGCGGGAAACAGGCCTGCAGCTCATGCGCCGCGTGCTGGCTGTGCTGCAGATCTTTGCTGTCAGCCAGTTTGGCTGTGCCACAGGTCAGATCCCTCGCACCCTCTGGCAGAAGGACCAAGACAACAAGGACTTCTCGCCCTTAATTAAGAAACTGGAGTTGTCGGTGGAGCGGGTGAGGCAGCTTGCCCTGAAACACCAGCAGGCAGAGCACGTTATCTCTTCTGAGCTGCAGGACGTTCCCCTGGGGGGCAGAGACGAGCTGACCCTGGCTGTGCGCAGGGAGCTGACTGTCGCTCTGCGGGACCTGATGGCTCACGGGCTCTACGCCTCCTCCCAAGGCATGAGCCTGGTGTTGGCACCCATCGCGTGCTTGATTCCTGCGTTCACCCCTTCGCCGCAGACCATGCACCCCTGGGAGCTCTTTGTCAAGTATTACAACGCTAAGAACGGACAGGCCTTCGTGGAGTCCCCAGCGCGTAAGCTTTCCCAGTCCTTCGCCCTGCCCGTGACGGGAGCAGTGGCCACCACCCCCAAGCAGAGCCTGCTGACAGCTATCCACACGGTGCTGACGGAGCACAGCCCCTTCAAGCGGAGTGCGGACTCGGAGCTGAAGGCGCTGGTGTGCATGGCGCTGAACGAGCAGCGTCTGGTCTCCTGGCTCAACCTCATCTGCAAGTCTGGAGCTCTGGTGCAGTCCCACTACCAGCCCTGGAGCTACATGGCCCACACAGGCTTCGAGGGTGCACTCACCCTCCTCAGCCGCCTGAGCAACTTGAAGTTCAACCTCCCGGTTGACCTGGCTGTTCGGCAGCTGAAAAACATCAAAGATGCTTTTTGATGCGTTTTTATTGTAGATCATCTCTTTTCCACGAGTAGGCAGCTGTTGGGCTCAAGAAGCCTGGCTTTTGTAAAACCAAGTTTGTCTCTTTGCTGTTTGCTTTTAGGGAATCCCTGTGGTGTCATGGTGTTGTCAGTCTGCCCTGCAGAGCTGTCGGAGGCTGCGCCAGCCCCTAGCCCTGCCTGTCCCTGCCGCTCTCAGGGCCAAAACCACCTTGCCCAGGTGCCAGTGAGTGTTGGGTGGTGGGGGCAGAGGCCTGGCCACAGAGCCTGCGGGTGGAGGAAGGCCCCTGGGACGTGCACCTTAGCTCCTGTGTGCCGATTTCTCACAGTCTGTGCTCTACATGATGTGCCTATGCAACCCCTCTCAGGGAGAAGCAAGGCTGGCAGGGG